CGGTTGTTCCAGACTCTTTCAAAACAACTATTTCTATTACATCTTGGTCAAGGAGAAATGTTCTTAGGCCTGCTTTACAAAAAGACTGTCTACATTCCCTCCATTAGAGTATATTTCTTTTTTCCTCCCCTTAGAGTGTATTTCTATCACAGCTTGCTGCATTGATTCAGTTGAATGTAGTTAAGCAACCATGAAGTCTCAAGCGGGTCTGAAGTCTCCTCGCGCGTTCTAAGGTGTTGCCAACATTGCTTCTGATCATCAGAATCCAACTGGAAACTGTTAGACAAAAGAATGCCACACTCATACACATGAAAATGTTCTTGACCTTGGGAACCTATGAAAATGTTACTTTACATGGCAAAGGGGACTTTGCATAAGTGTTTAACTAAAGAATCTTAAGGTAAAGAGATTATCGGGGCGTGGGGAGGGAGAGGGAAAAAATGAGGACCTGATGCCAGGGGATTAAGTGGAGAGCAAATGTTTTGAGAATGATGAGGGCAATGAATGTACAAATGTGCTTTACACAACTAATGTGTGTATGGATTGTGATAAGAGTTGTATGAGCCCCTAATAAAATGATTTAAAAAAAAATCAAATGAGGGACATCATGTAAGCCTTGTGTGGGTAGCCTCCCTCGTCGAGATAATGTGTGTGGGTCTTTGCCTCGTTTAAGACTTAATAAATGTTCTCTTTATATTAAAGGGGGAAAAAAGAGATTATCCTGATGAGCCCTATGTAATCATGTAGCTTTTAGGTGCTGTTGACCTGATGTCAACTCAGAGTGACCCTGTGCTACAAAGTTGAACTGCTCATTGGGTTTTCTGTTATTGTTAGATGCAGTTGAGTCATTTCAACCCATCTTGACCCTATGTGCAACAGAATGAAACATGGTACAGGTTTGTGCCAGTCTGTTTTTTTGCTGACCCTCTGCTAAACATGATGTCCTTTTTTTGAGATTGAACTGTCCTGATGGCATGGCCAAAGTACATGAGATGAAATCTTACCATTGCTACCCCCTTTCTAAGGAGTATTCGGCTGTACTTCTCTCAAGACAGATTTGTTTGTTCTTCTAACAGTCCATGGTACTTTTGATATTCTTTGCAAGCACCATTAATTCAAATGCATCAATTCTTCTGCAGTCTTCCTTATTCACTGTCAAACTCTCACGTTTGTTGTTGTTGTTGTTGTTGTTGTTATGTCCAATTGAATTGGCTCCAAGTTGGATCATGGACCCTATGAGCAACAGAACAAAACACTGCAGAGACCTGTGCCATCCTCACAATTGCTCCCATGTTGAAACCACTGTGTCAACCCCTCTCACTGTGCCCTCCCCCACTTTACTGAACATGAGGCTCTTCTCGAGACCCAGGCTTGTCCTGACAACATGGCAAAAGTATGTAAAATCAAATCTCGCCATCTTTGCCTCTAAAGAGCACTGTGGCCTTATTTCATCCAAGACAGGCTGGTTTCTCATTTCAGCAGTCCATGGTAATTTCAATATACTCTTATAGCATCACAATTCAAATGCAGATTCTTTTTCAGTCTTTCTTATTCGATGTTCAACTTCCACAAGCTTATGAGGCAATGAAAATATCATGGCTAAGGGTCAGGCACACCTTAGTCCTCAAAGTAACCTCCCTGTTCTCCAACATTCTAAAGAGGTCGTGTGCCACAGATTTACCTACTGCAATACATCTTTTGATCTCTTTACTACTGTTTCCATGAGCATTGATTATGGACCAATCAACATGAAATCCTTGACGTCAACCTTTTCTCCATTTATCATGATGTTACCTATTTGTCCAGTTGTAAGATTTTTTGTTCTGATGATGCCT